AACGATTTTGATGAATTTGCAAAAGAATGTTTAGCCTGATATTTAATATTATATAATATAAGGTACTGGTAACAATTCATGAGATAAGTAGTATGGTGCACATATTTAAGCGTATATAGTAGTGATAATATTTCATGTCAAAATTTGTCTACAATTATTTGGTCAACAGTATGTGAAATTTTTTTGGTTCATTTTCAATCTGTTTTTTGAGAAAAACTGTAAAATAATATGCATAAAATATTCCTTAGACCACAAGGAAACACATTTCCTATTAAAAATATTGTCATTTTTGTAATAAAAATGCTATTTATTTGTTTTCACTACATGTCACAAGCTAAACTTTGAGATGTATGTTTGTAGAAAACCTTCCATAGGAAACAATGGCAAATGCCCTAAATAGCGAAATATGCTATTTTCACTCTATTTTGTTCATAGATTTTTTTTTGAGTATGGTGACCCCATATTTTTTTCATATTTGTGACATGATATATCACATTTTATTTTCTTATTTGTCTAGCATTCTACCTAAATGTATTACATTCAGTCTCTAGCTAAGGTATACTTTGAAATAAATGCAATGATCATTGGGAAAGTTTATTTTGAATACAAAATGTATAACACAGCAAAGGAAGCAGCTCTTGGTGACCTAGAGTGTATCCTAGGTAACCGAAATATTAAAAGTGAATAATAGAAAAGGTACACAAACTTATGTTCAATGCCCTGAAACGTCACAACACACAAAATTGAAACATTGAGCCAAAACTTGTTTTATCAGTGTGAACAGAATCTTGTGCATATTGGGGGAGGGGGGGGCGTTATAGCTACATGCCTTGAAGAAAAAATCTATGTCAAAACTAATACATGATGGCACTTTTGCATAATAATTCACACATAGTTTACATAATTAATTTAATAGTATTTCTATATCTGTTCCACGTAATGTACTATCTTTTATAAATTGTTTTGATTATGAAGTGTTTTATTTACTATTTTTATGGAAAATTATTTATCTGAACACATTACGTTAATTTTTAAAATAAACAAAAGATAAATAAACAATAACAGGTATTATTGTCACTGATATTATACAATGGTTGTTGTAAATATTAGTGTCTGTAATTTACTAACCCTGGGCCCTTATGTATGTTTGTCGTACATTGATATAAGATCTATAAAATAGTAAAATATCATTAAAGACAATGTGCAGCTTTATAATACGAAGAACAAAAAAGTCTCCCAGATTTATTTCAGTTCTTGTGTGATTATGAGGTTACAGCGCCCTCAATGTTACAAACAGTACTGTTAGTTCAATAACAATGGATAGTTGTCTTATTGTTTTCACCTTATTGTTTTCACTTTCCCAAATAAACCTTTTAATAATAATTGCTTTCAGATTTTAGTTTGCATTGTCTATGCCTATGTACTGGTAACATTACAAGTTGGGTTAGGTCTGATAGATAGCTGCAGAAATCAAAAAAACAAATTTATGTGGGAATCCATGAGCATGGTGGTGTCAGACCAGTGAGACAGTTTATCCAGTAGTTTTGTGGTACCACCCTATATCTTGGTGTGACTCTGAGTCTATCAAGAAATTCAAGTATCTAAGCCATTAATAAAATGTATATATGAATCATACGATCGACTGACTGAAGTTGGTGTGATGTACAGAGGCTACGTTCCCTTCAGTGTTTGAAGCTATTACTGGTGAAGACAGGGAGCGTGTTTTAAATAGGTGCACTGTTATAACATAAAATTCATTGTAGATAATTTCAGTTCAACACTTTTTTGTGTCTGCATTATTATCACTAGTCAGTAGCATGCAGTCGTATTATTTTATGATGTAGCCAGAATATGTAATATGATGAATAGTGTTGCTGCATGTTAAAGTTACAAATAAACTTGTGTCATACCATGGTCATACACAAGACAATTTAGCATGTGTTTGTCATGTTACATCAGCTTGAAAATAGCACACGTAGTATTCGGTTTGTCAGTGAATGTGATTGAATCTAAAGTTCATCAATGTTATTATTTGTGACACTGATGTTGTGACTTTCATTTTAGGGTCCAAGTCTGTTTGAACCCTATTGTTTTACTCAAGTTTCTCTATTTGACCTCTTTATGAGTGTCTAGACGATTTGCTGGCTTTGGCCGCCATCTCTTTTTTTTAGTGAAAAACAGGAAAAATGCCTGAAACTCATTTACAGAATGGCTGGTCCAGTATAACATCTCATGGGAAAAACCTTTCAAGTTTCAGAAACAAAAAATGATATTTTACATGTTTCGCAGGGTTTTATGATTTACAATTCACATCACTGCATTTTATTCCAAACATATTGGGTAAATATTAAGTCATATTCTACTGTCAGTTTTCAACCTGATAGCTGCTCTGCAGCATTAATATTGAATTGTAATAAGGCAGTTTTGTTGAAAATTGCATGAACAAGGGCATTGGGTAGTTCCTTGTGGCAGTAATAGTGACCATGCTCTCATTGGTATGCTTGAAATGTCCTTGTGTGGTTACATAACACTTAATGTAATGACCCATGCATGATGGAGACTAATTAAACTAAAACAAGGAAGATGAGTTCTTTTTAAAGTGCCTGTGAAATGGCTGCTATTTTCACGCCTAAAATTATCATTTGATACATAAATATTATTAATTTTTATGTTTCTAAGCATGAATTATTTTTTTTAAGTGAAAAAATGTGTTTTAAACTCAGTCTACGGCAACTTTATTTTTGTGTATTTTAAAACGAGGCTCCTCATTAGCTTCTCATTTGCATACAGAAATTCCCCTTGTGGCGTCAGAAGGGGAAGTCGCATGGCAGCTTGCATTGCCGATACGTGTAAATAAGGCAAATTTATTGTGCAGTTTTCTCGTCTTTGACTAAATTGTCACTTATGTCGGGGTACTTGTTCGTCGAGGAAGAATGGACCATAATGAACACATAGTATCAATTTTTGTTGCATGAGGTTGAGTTAGATGCGAAATATGTCCGTTCTGGTGTAGCTGGTCACCGTGATCGTCACCGACACCAGCGCACGTTTGTAATGACTGTCGCTGAACAAAATAGAATTTGACGTCGGAATTATCTCGTTATTTAGCAGGTTACTAGGCACGTCACTACACTGTTTTATTTCATCGATCGTTTGAGTAAAACTTTCAAAATTAAAATAAAAGAGAACATATTCTGACATTCTAAACATTAGACTATAGTGGTCAATATAAAATAATTAAAACAAGGACAAATCACAGTTACTAAATAAATGACAGCCGCGTGGAAATAAATTGACTTTTTGTTGAAATAGATAAACGCGTCGGGTCACGAC